CGAATATTTCTCGTTATTCTGCCCTTTTGCATTGCCTGCCAGAAGCGGTGTTGTCCTGCGATAGCCACAAATGATATTCGCTGTTGAAAACAGTTCAAATGCTGCTGAATCATGAATCAGCTATTCTCCATGAAGGTCCTGGTAACAGGTAATGGTTAATTTAACGACATTCGTCAGCTAAATTCTGCCCATCAAGAACGTCGCTTTACTTAGGCTTGGCTACGTAAAGGTTGTCTGTACTCCCCACAACAAGCAGCGCCAACCCAAAAGACAATCAATAGGAATCAGTGATGAAATAATGCTAGAAGACGTCGAAATTTCGACTGATCATAAATAAATTCGGTAAATTCAGTTACTAGAAATAGATTTCTTTTTCAAAAAATAGGGAATTCTGGAATGAGCAACGACTACGGGTGAATCGAACAACTTCAGAAATCTTAGCAAAAATGTCTATAGAAGAAAGAAACCCAATGTGTCGCCTTGGTGGACCCTCAAAGTAGTTATACCTTCCTATAGGGAAGCATTTTATATAGTATATCATTCGTCTCGCGAACAACAGACGGGCGCCACGCGTCTGCAAATACCGCCTTGCCATACGGTATACTTTTACCCTGTTATTCAGATAAATGATTCTATACGATTGATTACCTGTGTTCTGCTTCTTTCCGCTGTGCTCACTTACCGCGCAAGCGAGACCAGAGCATCATAGCCCCCGTTCGCATCGTTTCCGTTCTAAAAATCGCTGTTCTGTTTCTCGTTCGACGAACCATATCTCATTCGAATTGTAATAAAGGGCCAGATAGTTAAAAGGGTAGTGTTTAAGTTACTAACTAGCTGGTTGAGACCAAATGGCAATGCCATCCCTTGTCTCTGTGCAGGCTCTAATGCTTTTTTTCTTTGTTCACATCACGAAAAGCTTCGGTCATCCTCACCTGTAGTAATTCGTGAATAGTGGTTGTAATAGTAGTTTTCTGGATTGTCAACGTAGTAAGAATGGAAAGATACCAGTGCGGGTAGAAAAAAAAATTAGAAATAGAGACAAAAGATTGTATAGCAGTGGTGAATCAGATTAAAGAAAATCTCGTAGAAATAAAAAAATATCTAAAAGTAATACAAAAAATCAGACAACAAAAAGAGTATGCTATTATTTAGTGTGTATATGCATGTGTGCTTGTATGTGTGTGTGTGTGTGTGTGTGTGTGTGTGTGTGTGTGTATATATGTTTGTATCTGTATATCGAAATGTATGCCTGAACTCGCCTATAGAATACAGTGCTTAATAACTCTCCATCCTGAGTACGATTATGGGGATGAGATCACCGCTTTGCTACGCGGCAGAATAACTGTTTGCTTGGCATAGTATTAGTACACTGGCGTATCACATTGTCGTGAACGAGCTCAATTCGAGAGTGCCACTGCCATCAGGATAACGACTGATAAGCACCGTGATCGGGGCGGTATTCGTGTAGTTTGTGCGTATTTGATGTTGAGACCGGAGATAGCGTATTTGATAGAGAAAACTATTAGAAAAAGAAAAATTTACAGTGGGCCAAACGTCTTTAAAACGTGCAGCTGACCCAGGCAGATGAGGTTTACGTTTTGCCATATTCATACATTTGAGCGATTGGAACATGCATTAGTACATCGCCGATCCTACTATCGAAAAACTACTTTTTTTTTTCTCTGTGCACAACGCAGGCACCACTGGCCATTACTAGTAAATCATCCGAATGCTACTATTTGCCGAGCATTTTCACTGTTCAAGTATCATAGTTTAATATCCCTAATACTTCAGTAAATAGCTGTGACATAATGTAAACATTGTATGCGAAGCACGCTGGCATCTAGAGACAGGAAAACATGTCTGCTTTGCCCGTTCGCGGCTGAAAAGGGGACGACTCGCTTCTACCGTAACCGCGATTTATCAGTGTTCGTAACAACGTACCGATTAAAAGGTTCTTTATTCTCTCCGAGATGACGCCGTGGTAATGCGCATATGTAGCCGTCGTTTTTATCTTCATGTCTTTGAGCTTTGCGTCTTCGTTACAGCATGCGGCAGTGCGCGAATCATGTCATGCCGTTTTCAATAGAAAAAGCATTCCCTGGACCAAAGCAGAACGTTTGTTTCCCGCTCCAACATGTTAGAAAGATACGACTCATATTTTAGAACCCTAGGACATCGGTTAACCAGAAAATAGTTGATCTAAATATCATTACGACTCATTTTAGCCGTCGTGACGGTGTTTGTTATTGGTACTTACGCGTGATTATGTGACCGCGAGTTACATTATATTGCGGAAACGCAAAACACATTACATAAGTCTGTTCATTTTATAAGCAGATATTAATTAACTTCGCAGCTTGGGTCATTATCTCTCGTTGTTCTGTTGAGTCCTGATGCAAATCGGGTCCACGTTACAATCTGGCTAGTGCGGACTATGGGCGCCGTGTTTTCATAGAAGCCTTTCGACAGTATCATGCGCGCGCATGTTTAAATGTAATTTCTTACTTATCTATCCACAAGTGGTTCTAACTGTACGCAATTCAAAGGAGGCCTATAGAAGAAAACGTTTAACCTCCAAGTTAGGGCGATGAAGTTAGCGATGACAACGATGGCGGCGTTGAAACTACTCGAAGACAGCTAATTGTATGAGTTTGGCAAAGGAATTCAGGGTTAAGGTAGACATTCTCGAGCTAGCAACTGGCCTAATTAAGTTCGAGCTTGTTAAGAAATATTATAATTAAGCATTGTATTTAGCAGCTACAGAAGCGCAAACCGTGTGTAGTAGTTATCGAAAATTAGACATAATTTTATCTTTAGTTTGCCTAAGCTGGCGTAGTGCTTAATTACCCAATGCTAATTAAGTGTTCGATTCTGCTTTCATAGCAAAGATCAAATCCATCAAATGGAATGCTCGTCATTGCTCAATCTAACCCCTGACCTTTACAATGTTAACCCGAGTCTAAGTGACAGATTTCCTTGTGTATTCCGCCGATGCTGCCCCCTGTTCATGCATTTTGAACTTAGCACGGCGATAGGAAATGTTTATTGCAAAACACCCAGAAGCCACACTCGTGTTTAGGGCATCTATGTGTAACGTGCCAAAATTTAACTAAAAAAAAAAAAAAGAACTTTTCAAAGCTAACTATTGTCGCTAGTTGTTTCCGGAACGATCTGGAGCAATGCAGTGACAGGGGTAGCGGCGCGACATGGAGAACGGCATATTTCTGAATTTAGCTGGAAACAATCTGTTATTGATTAGCTGGTGTGAAGTGACAGATATTATTTACGCATTCAAGAGAACCATGTTGATATTCGTAAAATCATAGGTTTTGTCGAGCATTGGGGAAGGGTAGTCACAAAAAAAAGTATGCTTTTTTCACGGTAAAATTCTTCTCGGAAACTTATCGTTGTTTACCATGTCCACGACAGGTACCTGTCAACAAATAGCCCTCGAGCTTGCCGCAGATGAGGATTACGGTGCTTATAACGGCCTTCAACATAACAGTTAATTATTATGCGATCAACAGGCACCCGTGTAACGAGCATGTAAGCTAAACCATTATGTATATGTAAACTAGCCAATATTGTGCCTAATTTACATGTTGAGTTAAGTCAAATATTTTCGTTACCATTATAATTATCACATCTAACGAATGGCACCCTTCCAAACACGAACCATTAACTATTCGTTACGAATAACAACGACCACAGAATTAACGAAATATGAATATGTAAGGTACCATCTTTCCTTCCTTTTAGCGCTAGTAGCGTTTTTCAAAAACCGTTTTCTCCCTCTCTCATAGTTTTCTTCTTTTCCACATGAATAAATCCGTAAGTAAAGCTTCCGTTGGAGCTCAATGGTACTAACATTATTATCATTTTTCCATGCGGCAAACAATAAAAAAGAATGGTGGTGGAAAGGGAAGGGAAGGGAAGGTAGCGTAGCGCTTACGGTGATGATTCCCAAGGCGGGTCGCCCCTATTGCACAATATGATGATACGTCGCATGAAGAAAAATAAATAGACTCTCACGATAAAAAGAGAAGAACGATGGTGATAGCACTTCGGAGCTCAGAGTTGTATCAAACGAGTGTAGCTACAGGGGTGGCTGTAATAGCGTTAGCAGCAATATTCACTTTTGAGCGGACCACCATGACGTCGGTGTGATTAACAGAGATAACGTCAAACGCACAGACATCACAGGCAGCACGGCTCGGAAACGCAACGAACGCTGGCAAACATAGCGCTATTCAATAGCATGGCAATAGCAAAATGAAAGTATTAATAGAAGTAATCGTCGGCCGTTACAACATTGTGATGAAATTACAAGCAGACACAGTGACCGGCCGCGTACCATCATAACCTCCCAATCGGCGGCACGATTTAATACAATCCATATGGCGTAATCTTTTATTCAATTTCTTTTTTCTGAATACTTTTATATCCACGTGAACGATTGACACTATGGTATAAATACTGCAAGTATCCAATATATGATATCCTTTGCTAGAAGGGACAATAAATATCCCCTGTTGCGTTGTCCCTATGCGTGACATGAACCCTTGATGTGGTGGAGAATTGTTGGCTAGTAGTAGAGACATAGTGTATGTACTTTGGCAAATCTGAGGTTCCTATGGCACCTGCTATGGAGAACGGATATGGGAAAAATACGTATATTGTTGTTTCGATATAGTATAAACTAGTTGCTGCGCATACGATATAAGGAGTCAACAACTTTAGCTTTATTAGATGCATACCCCGGGCCGTTGCCGGGGTATGTATTTAGTAAAGCTGAGGGTTAGGGTATGTATCTACTGCACAGTGAGTATTTATACAGGAAGAGACGTCTTCTACCTGCACTATTTATAACCTGCACGCTTATCATGTGCGTACGCATCGTATGTTCTATATTACCTTTCATGAGATATATGAAAAAGCTAGTAGTAGCAAGAGGCGGTGCAGTAAAAAAAAAAAAAAGGTGGTCCTTGCAGGAATCCGCCACGTAACAGTTATTATTAAAAGAAATCTATATGCTGCATCTACGTGTCGCTCGTGCCTCAGTCACGTAAATAGCAACGTCGGTCGGTCGGTCGGCCGTCAATATAAAACTTCTATCTGGTAACGACACCGTTCGGCAATGTCACGGGTATGCGAGGCTGTTTCTACCACTAAAGCGGGCAGATGGACATGATACGGAATAATTACTGGCCAGAGGTGAATAACCCGAAAAAAAGATTTTTTTTAGATCGATGCAGCATAAATCCTATATATATATATATATATATATATATATATCGCTACCATGTAATGTTAATTTTTCACGCGATTCACGTTACCCGCTATAACACAATGATGACCATGCGTGTGTATATGTTATTAGCGTGATATTATGCAATGGCCAGCCGCGATAGAACGTCTCTTCGTGCACCGAAGCTCCCATATGAAACAATATGCAGAGATGTCCCAGATCGATCAGGGTCGCCGCGACGGAAAGCCGGACTGATCAGCGTCTAGCTGGTCAAGGGATGCGAAGTGATGCATTCCGCAGGCCGTAAAGAAGATGGGGAGATGAAAAAATCGGGCAATAGTGGCCCATTATCAACTATTATCATATAAGTAGTGTGCTACGATACTACGAAGAACTGCAGATTATAAGCTACCGGTTCCAGTGTGCCGAACTTTCGCTTTCCGTCTAGGGGATCGCATGCACGACGCCATCTATGGGATGTCATACATTTTCGAAGACAACATCGAACAACAACAATACGTCTATGGCAGTTGGCATGTGAGTGAACTGATTTTACTTATAGTTGATTTAAGAATAACCTGCCGTACCATGTTCGAGTGAGCATAGAGACTTAGCCTATAGCAGTTCATTAATTTAGAGAAAATAACTGCGAATCTATATATGACAAAAAAAAAAAAGAGCAACTTCAAAACATGACTAGCTATGTTGTGTGATTGAGAGTGACAAACTGCGGAGCAAACTAAAAGGTGAAACATTTCTACAATGGTTGATTACAGATGTATGCACAGCACTCCTTATGTACCTGTATTTCGGTGCCTCAGTGAGTGCTACGATATTTATATGCGAATGGGTGGTCTCACTACTGAGCGAACTGAGACTGACGATGAGGCGAAATTGAAGATTAACAACAGGGCTTAGCGGGACTCATCTTGTTACATCGAGAGGGGAAATTTTTGTTTCGCTAAAATTGTGCGTTTGCTTGAGACAGTCCTATTATGGTGTGTCATACAGGACAGAAACGATAGATTAGAGAGGAATTTTAGATCCAACCTATCAACCAGCTCTAGGCGCGCTCTAAGCCAATTTTTACATGACTAAAGTTACAGATACAGATGAAAATGAATGCTTCTTCAAAAAGTGTATCTAAATGCACAACGAGTATTTTTTTTTGTGACGACAGAGACGCTTCTGACGCATATTTTTATTTGATGCGATTAATATTCGCGTACGGCTACGGTTGAATTCGAGGCATAAACTACTGAGAAGTGATTTTCAGTTTTTTTTACATAAATTCGCGAATGTTTTTTTCTCAATAGAAATCGATAATAAAACAATATAAACACATGTGGACTTAATGCAGTTTGCCCAAGGCAAGTTAGTGGATTCAAACATTTGCTTGGTAATAGGCCAAAATAGTGTAGTTTTAGCTTCTTCCTTGGATTCTTCAAAGGCTACATAATGACCGATTATAATATAGCTTTTAGCTAACCAGAGGAGCTTATAGGTTTGGGGGCGGTATATCTGAAAAGGTTCGGCAATAGTTACTCTTTGGTCATATTTCTTAAAAATTATAACAATAATGCAAAAACCTATCTGAGCTGATATACATTACCCTTCACAATTGTAAGACCTGAAGATTCTCTTGGAACACTGCTTAAAAGTCTCTGTTTTGAAAGCTATTTATTTCCCTATTTATAACAAAATAGCTATCGGGTCCTCCGATGCTTGCAAAAGTTAGTATTCAAAAACAGGAACTTCTTTTAATATTAAGGAATGGCTATTTGGAATAACGAAATAATAAAGCCAGAGCACCAGGCATGCAGTAAAATAAAAATAATAACTATAGGCTATTTGTTAGGTATCGGTTAATCTTGTATCAAACGTTTTAGTCTATATATATATAACTCCCTAGCACTAGAGACTCGTTACTCCTTATTCGTGCTATAATAGTATTTGTCGATGAAAACTGCTGTATACGGCGGCACATAATGAAGTACTTTCAGATCTAATGTCCTCCTTCGGTTTGCCCCATTTGCGATTACGCAGCGTCTTACTCTTGCCGGTGCTTGCGCGTCACGGCAGGAACAAACGTTTGGTTGTTCTTTTTCCATTATTTTGCGCCAAGGCTTAGCGGTAAGTACGACTGTTGTTATTTCACTGAAGTAATTATGATTGGGGATGTTGTTGTGTTAGTATGATAGAGCGCGTGGATCTCTTACCTGATAGTGGCAACGGCTGTGAAGATCATCATGGAAGAGCGTTGCTGACGACAACAATGATGAGAGAAATTAACAATACTGATGACACGATTGCGGCCGGACAAAAAGCACCGCTAGAATCGAGCGATGCGACGGATTTCACATTCATGGTGTCCGCAATGCTAGCAAAAGCTAGAAAGATTAGCCCCTTTTGAGCTGGAACGTTCACATCGCTAAAACGAGCATAACGTTAGTATTGCCCAGGGCTGAATGACCCTAATGAGGGCAACAACTGCAGGCCGGATCAAAGTAATCATCATTGTATTTCGTTTCAGCAATCACCATAGCAGCTGTTAGACAAGTAGTATATAACAAGTAGGTTACGTAATGATAGAACATTATTTATATTTACTATAGTTATTACTATATCTTCATCACCCTATATATATATATATATAGAACTATAAATCTGTAGCATCCTGGAGCTATGCTTGTTACACCCGCTTATTGATAAGGCAAATAAATGCTGTTATTGGTAGAACACAAATAAAAACCTAGAGTATTCTATCTGTAATAATGGCAGCGCACAGCCATATTGTATTATCATGTAGGACGCCGCAGTTCAAACAAGACGATGCAGGGTTGAATGCGGTTATTTATGAGCTTAGACGTAAGCTAACACGTTTCTAGTATCATGCGTTTTTTCGAAGTGACTTAAAGCTTGGCTTTTCTATAATGTTATACCGATTACTACAGTGAAAATATTGGATTGCGTTGCAATTTGCTTCGTTTTAAAGGCTGTTGTCTGGAAGGAACCAAGCTTGTTATTTCGTTCTTTATCTATCCACTTGCCGATAAGGGTAAGTCAAAAGGAACTTTTGGACCAGTAGTCGCAGCTATAGAAAACTAGCTCGTTATTAATTTATTCTTTTCCCTTCTAAGGGCAATGAGCGTCGCACCATGGACAAACAGAAGCAATGGTGTCAGCAGGTGGCGTTACGTGAGTGTTTTTTGTGTCTTCAAGGGCTTTCTCGATAGGTATGTTAGTTGATAGTAAGTCTACTATCCGATAGTCTGTGTGCACTATTTGTTTACAAATATATTCATTTTATCAACACTTAGAATCGAACGACCGTAAATTTTCTGAATTTTATCTTCATGCGTACATTATAACGCCTAATCATCGTAACGACACATCTCCTTAGAAGATCTAAGGAGTTCGGTGTTACTATCAATAAATGGTTCGCGAAACCGTTACGGAACGCGCTTGAATGAACTCACTGTTCCTTCTAAAGTTGTCCTGCATTTCGTGTCTTTTCAAACATCAACTAAATACAAAATCGTAATAGTGCTAGAAGATTAGTGGTACTTGTCTACCGGTATTAGATTATTATAAGCCGTTGATGTTATGTCAGAGAAAAATATCTGTTTGTACAAAAAGAGTTCGGTTTTGACCCCATGAGCGTATCTGGGTGCCTTATGTTCCCGTGGCATTTTCGGTAGCCGCCTGTAGGGTAAGGTCCGCATTACCTAAATCGAAGTTTAGATAAAATAGAAGATTAGCCATTTTTAACCGGTAAGCAATGAGTCTTCTAATCAAAATATGTTAACTTACTTTCGTGTTCAACTGCTAAACGTGAATCCACGTGACGTGATTTAGGTCTGAAAGCGGGAGTGGGCACACTTCGTTTCGTGCTGGTATGGCTCAGGCGTCTGAACAAGAGTTTAATTAAGGCAGCACGGAACGAAACTTAGAACATTTATTTTAAAAATGAAAAAAAAGGTTGCAGGCTCTTCGATCGACGAAAGCAAACAGACTTTGTGCAGCAAAAAGAAATATAATCGAAAAACGGTGGACAGACGCCTTAGACCAGAGCATCACTTAAGTTTGTTTTTAGGGACTTTTATGCAAATATCAAGAGTGCTGATAAAGATAGTGGATGAGTTTGAATTTCTTGTATTAATATAAAGGTCGATAAAGGTTTTTCATGGCTGGAAGGATCAAAGAAACGCTCATGGCTTAACCCAAACCTATCTCAAAGTCTGGCTTTTACAAAATTGTTTACGATGCAGAACAGAGGTAGTCTTAGTAGTTGGTATCCAAAGGAAATTATTATCATTTCAAAGGAACTCACTACATTGGGAAGAAAAGAAGTCGGTACTTTACATGATTTGCAAAGGTATCGGAGTGTTTTCCAAACAAAACATTGCCTTATTTATTTTTGGCAAAAAGATTGACACACAGAAGCAAAGTTGTGTTGTACAGACCATGGCCCAGACCGATTTCTGTTCCTATGAAGTTACAGATCTAACGCAAGTAATCTCCAACGTTTTTTTCGGTATTGTTCCAGCATTACACTACATTTAAATTTACAATGAACATTCCCGACAACAGTACTAAGCTCTCGTCACCTATTCATGAACGTTGCCCTTTGTTTTAAAATAACATCGCGTTACATCTCGCCAACCAAACTCACATGTACAGCAGGATGCACTCAGGCTTGATATAACAGTGTTCCGCGTGGACACATCACTGAAAACAGACGACGACCTTTTACTTACCACTTAATCTCGTTTGTCATCTTGACATACTACTTGTATTTTTATCTTATTAAAAGTTGACGGACTGTACGAGCGCGATGAGGTTCACGTTTAGAAGTATCTAACTAACAGGTATACTAATTTGTTTAACACTTCAAATTTTACCCATTAAAAAACAGATGTACATGCTTTTATGCACAATTTAAATTGTAAGTTTCAATGAGCAAACTGTTCGACATTTAAACTCACAAAGCGGTAATCAGAATATCAATTAATAGCCTAGCACAGCATTGCCTTACAAACAATCAATGATCTTCGATCGGCTTATACTTCACAATCTATATTTTTGTAGAAGTTCATAGGAGTCGTTAAGAAGCGAGACTTTGCGATAAGTTAAACAATCCAGACTAACATGACATGACGGCCGGTCGTGGTAACACCGTAAAAATTACGAAATTAATTTAAACAACAGCCCTGTTTGATGACACTGGACGTCATTATATATAACGCGTCATTATATATATAGATATATATCCACTGACAAAAATTAAGGCACCGATGGCGTATTTTGAGAAAGTGCGAAAGTGTTCTCCGGCTTTTTGCCTACACCTGTGCATTTGTGTATACAGGATTAAGGCTTCGTAAGTTTAAATATGTGCATTTCCTAAATCTTAATATACGTTTACCGTAGACGTTCGCATTAGATTAGATTTCAACAAACAACAGTGAATTTTTATATTAAATTTCGTCGAATGTAGGTGAACCGTAAAACAGTCGTTGGAGCTAACCGTATTTTAAAATTTTTCCGTATAATGACTCTCTACATTAAAGTCAAGCTTTTTAAGTGTAATGTGGCTGTATGTACGTTTCCTCACCATACTCGTGCTGTTATACCGGTAATAGTTGTGATGAGGTGCTACATACTTACATAGGCAGTGTCTACGAAGCTGCGTTGACCTATGGGAATATCGTAAGAAGACTTTTTTTTTTAAATTTATTAACGAGGATTACCGTGAGCATCCGAAAAAAAGGTCGCAGCACTAAAAACGCGTATGCCTCAACTCCTAGGAAAGGGGATGTAGCCTTGGAACTGCCTTCGCATTACTTCAAGGGATTCATTCTTCTTCGCCGGCATCCGTCACAGTGGCCTGCTAGTGTAGCTCTGAATACTTCTGAGACCGCTGCTTAGCATAGCCGTGGACCTAGTCCGGCTTTAGTCCGCACCGAGTATCATGTTTCCCGGTATCCATCATGTTTAATGGGTATTTTCTAATAAACATGATACATTAAACGCTCGCTAGGGGTTCAGCGAATTCTGCCCTTGCGCCGTTGGAATGTTTCCGCCTCACCCGCCGGTCGGGGCCCTTCGAGACTGCAAAAGGACTATCTATAATTTACTAGCAGTTATGCTAACTTCCTGCACACAACTGTGAAGTCGTATTTAAAAGCGGTAACTAATTTATGAAGCAGAATTCGATATATATATATATACATATATATATATATATATATATATATATATATATATATATATATATATATATATACTCTTGATTATATTCTACCAAATATCATATTGTTATTAGTCCACAACTCTGATATTGATTACCTAAATGTAACGAAATTAGTGAATACAATGCTTATATGTCTGAAGGATCATACCAAAGCTAAGATCAAATTCGAACTTCAAAACTATCTGTAACTTTCTTTCGAGTAAAGCAATAATTTAATATTAACCGAAGTGGATAACATTTAACCAGCAGCAGGTTGTTGCGACGTCAGCCGACCATGTTTGCATAGGTTATTACAACAACGGCCGACTCCATCACGCATAGCGCTGAAACATCAGCCGACGGCCAACTTTATCCACGTGTGTCGCTGAGACGTCTGCTTTCGGCCAACTGTATTTACATCCGTCGCCGAAACAAAGGCCCTTAACTACATGCATTATTTAAGATAGTGGTTTTTGTCAATTGAACTACTACGTATAATTGGGTGTCATATTAGTAATAAGGCTGTACTACTATCATTATCTGCGTTATAGCAGCTTTAAAACGTGCATCTTCTGAAGGACCTCCCGAGGCCACTACAGCAGCAAGAAGGATCACAGCTGGCAACTAAGTTCTAGAACGAACTATGGATGCATCTAAAAAGTGTAAAAACAAATAAAAAGTAAGCCAGCACCTAGAGGGAAGTGCCTTCTTCTTAAATATAATAGATAGTTCTTCATTAATAATTTCAATTGTTTGAACTGCGAACTTAAATATAAAATGCAATTTACAAACGTCTAAATGTACTCTATTTACACCGAGTTTTAAATAAACATTTGACTGCTGATAAGCAGGTTGGACTAAGCAGGCCTTAAAGCGGGGTCATAGAGATAAAAAGAGACGGCTTAGAAAAAATGTGGTACAAAGTGCACTAGCAATCAGGCCAATCTCTTCCTCATCTCGTAAGTCAATCAATTTGGGAGGAGACACGAACACTATTTGCTCACTTAATGGACACAAATGATCAACCATTTAGTGCAGAAATCACTCCAAAGGTAACAATAAGCTAGTGTCAAGATCGACGGTCGTTATCATACTGACTTGCCAAAAAGAAGTATTTGTTAATCGCAATGATCCACAAAGTGGCTAGCGTTTGAACCACAGCAAAAAACACTTTCACTTATACATATACGTGCTTTTTTGTTGGCAAACGTGTTGATGGCTGCAGCTTTTGTCATTTGCCGATCGTGCAAACTATTGGCTAGATCCAGTTAGCATTGCGGCAGTAAAGAGAAGGTATGCGGCCCA